TTTGATTTTGGAACTGATTGTTTTCATTTCTGTACCTATGTTCTTCATGCAAATTTAGACATATTGTATGATTAGGCTTTTACTCATTAAGAGTTTATCTTTTGCATGTGGAAAATTGCAAAAACATTCAGTTCATGGAAGGGAATATGGTTTTGGGGCACATGACTTCCCCTTTAGCGGAGTGTTTGAAGTAGAACCTAAGAGCTGTCCCGGTTTTATATACAGATGTTCAATCCCAATGGGTCGTATCAATATGCCTTTGTCAGAATTCAGAACTTTCATAGAGAGTATGGCTTCTGAGTATCACGGAGACACGTATCACCTCATTTCCAAGAATTGCAACCATTTCACAGATGATATATCTCACAGGTTGACAGGGAAAAGGATTCCTGGATGGGTGAATCGGCTCGCCAGCCTTGGTAATGATATTCATCTCTTCTTATTTTTCTCTCCACACACTTCCCATTTTTTGTTCATCTTGATGTGGAGAATGATACAATTTGATAATAACTGGTCTTATTGAGCAATGAAAGGTTCCACCCTTATAAAAAGGGAATACACAGGGATTCCTAACTAAAGTAGGAATAGGAAATAAAGTATGAAAAGTAAATATGATAACGATATAAAATGGAAACTAATACTAATATTTCCTAATACTTCTATTATCCTAATAGAAAACAATTTGGGAGAAATCCAATAATTGTGTCGCAATGTTGTAAAAATCATTAGGAACTCTCTGGGAGAAAAATGGACCCTAGAACCTGATTCACTGGTTGGGGATAAATTGTGGTTAGGATGGGTCTGAGTGGAATTGTGTGGGCCCTAATTGGGAAAAATCTCTGGCCACCCAAACAGAGGCTAATGCCTAGGCAGGGATTACTAGGTTTGCAACATTGTCATGTCCCTCCTAATACTTTTCACTTTGCTTTTCATGGCCATGTACCCTCTGGTTCACCCTGATCTTTTCAGACATCCTATTTAGCCCCTAAACTAATTTTTAAGAAAAAAAATGATGGTTAGCTTTAGACATGTACACACAAGCAAAACCGCACAATGATTAGGTATATAAAAAAGTTTTGGTTCAATCACTACTTACCTGATTGTGTTTTCGTGTTTCATACATGTATCATACATGTCACTGAATTTTTGGTGTATAGTTCTGCCGAATATGCATTTTTGACAATGTTGCATATTCACGCGCCACACAAAAGATCTCCTTATATGTAAAACTTTATTTGTATAATTTAATCATATTATTTGTAAACTATGATCTTTGTGGTTTAATTTTTACACCTAATTATTAAGTCAACTATACTTTGAACATCTCTTAAGCCAAAATTTATACCTGTCATATCAAATTATTAACAAACACAATAACCGTATTTAACTAAAAGAGCTATTTACAATATTTTCCACATATTTATAGTGTTCGTGTTTTAGGTGTCTCCATATACAGAACGCGAAAAGTTGATAGTTCTTTTTAAAAGTTTGGGTCATTAACGAGTCTCTTTAGTTCGTTCATGGGCTCAATGAGACATTTGAAGCGTTCAAGGTCAATTGACTTTTTTTTTTCAATTGAAACTTGAATGGGTTCAGGGCCATTTTTGGTTTTTATTGTCTCTGTAACGTACAAATCCAAAATGTTCTACTGTTTAAAATCTCAGGTTCTTTGTGCAATTGTCTTCTCCCTGAAAGCCTTCAAGTAACAACCGTTAAACAGCTCCCGGAGTACCATATATACGCAGGTTTTTATCTGTTCCTCTCTATTCCAGAAGAAAATTGGACATCTAACTTGTGCACCATATATATTTGCTTTGGGTGAGTAAAAACTAACCACATTTCGTTTTGCTCTTTTATTATACATACCATACACCAGACGAAGATGGGAGCGGATCTGTATCTAGTGCAACACCCCAAGAACAAGAGAGCGAAGACGGAGACCAAGAGAAGCCGCTGTTGTCGCCTGCCCGTGGTAGCTGTGGTGTGGCTTTTGTAAGGGAGGTCCCACGGTGACATTTGGGCAAAAATCTAAACTTGTCGAATGAAAACATATTCTTTGTACAGTTTGAGTCTGCTTACGCCTCTCTCTCTCTCCTCTCTGTGTGTGTGTGTGTGTGTGTGTGTGTATCCTCCGTATGAGGAAACAAACATTATTCCTTTTTCCTTAAGGAAACAAATACTCCGTATGAGGTTCATATCAATTCTATTTCTTCTATACAAATCACAACCACACATGTTTCATTTTTATTGAAAATCGTGTGAAGTTTTAAATGTAGAAATTAATTATAGATCGAACAAAGAGTAAATAACGAGAATGTTTGAGAATATTCATAATTAGAGGGTTTGATAAAAAATATGAAGTACTTTGTAAATGTATGAAAGAGTAATGTGTTCTCCGTAGAAAAGTTATTAGAAATTGTATATTCTCTTGTTTTCTAATATTTTTTTCTCGTTTCTAATATTGCATGTCTAAATTTTGATTATAGGTGTAAAATTTAAAAATAAAATTATATAATTAAAAATATATAAAAATTCAATAAATCAAGAGGTGATATGAGTATATTCCTCCGTCCCATATCTTTTTTCTCACTTTCTTTTTGGACCGTCCAACTTGTTTCTTTGCGTTTCATTATTTGGAAATAAAAAAATTCTTACAATGACCCTTTTACCCCTCTTCATTTCCACTTTCATTTATTCTATTAGATCACCCAAGATACCCTAACCTCCACCCCACTTTCATTATCTACTCCCTATCACTCTATCTCCTTCTAATCCACCAACCCAGCTTTGAATTTTCACATTTACGGAGTATATCTTCGTCTCCTTCTCCATTTTTACTGTGATATGTGCCTCTAATGTATTTTCTGATTGTTGTCTGTTACTGGAAATACACTTGATTTGTAAGTGTCAAATGCATTTATAGTACACAATAATGGGCAAGTCTAAACTGCAATAATCATTGGGTAGAAGTTGGGTATGTACACTTCAATGATGTTATGATTACAAGGTTCAGTATTCTGTAATTCCTACTTACTAATCTCCAACACCACTGCAGCCATGTTTTTCCTCTTTCTTTTGGGAGAAACGATTTTTATAAATGGAAAAATTTCCAATTTCCCATCCCATAGTACCTGCCCTTCTTGGGAAAGAATGGTCTTGCTACGACCCCCAAGAACATCACCTTAGTTATAAACCTCTTAGATTTACAGGTTTTACAAAGATCATCCTCCTCTAACCCTAAATAAACCCTCTAGTTGTCTTGGACATGAAAAACCATTTTTCATCAACATGAACAACATTATAAGAGGTCTTAAATCTAGGGTTGGAGGGGATACTTGAGGGTTCTAGTTGTTTGTAACAAAAAAGAAGCCTTGCATGCTTGTATCTAACAGTTAATAAAGGTTTAATTGCATTGTTGGGGTTTTAAGCGTGTAAGACTCCAAAATATCAAGAACGTGAAAAATAAACCTAAACACACAGTACAAGAAAAATATTTTGAGAGAAAAATTATATCTTCACTATTTCAGAACGATATACAAAAAACTCTTCTCCACACCCTACACCCAAATGTATTTTTTCCTGAGTAACTAAATACCATTTAGTTCTTACACTCACTCATACAACCTCAGTGATATCTTGTGTAGTAACCTTATTAGTTTCTCCTCTCTCCCTTTGTTTTCTCTCAGTCTAGTGAACCCACACACACCACTACTCAAATACACCCATTTCATAAGTAGCTACTGAGAGAAAGAACCTCATTGCCTTGCCTGTCAATTCCAAAAGGAAACAACAAAAAAACATTCACATCAATATTTCGTAAGGCATTTGTGTGATTTCTAAACAAACCTCTTTCAATCCAATGGTGTATTGTTGACTTAGGTACATGAAATCAGCTGCAATTTTATTTATAATAGTCTTCTAAATTGTAATCTTGCCCATTGCATTAGGCTTTGCTACCAATATGATTGCATCAACGATATTTTAGTTTGCCTTTCATTATTGCTCAGTCTATGTTTTCTTTTTTTATTTTGTTGAGTTTTTTCACCACCATTTTCTGTATGCAGGGACATATGGTAGAAAAAAAGTTATAATTTTTAAAGAAAGGCAAATTTTATGGTGAATATAAGGTCCATCATGGACCTACATATGAACATTCTTATTACTTAAATAAGCATTTATTTTTTCTAAAAAAATTTAATTTTTTTTTATGCGAGAAGGTTTACAAAAATGATATGCACCCAAGGTGCACTATAGAAGCTGAAGAAAAGGAAACGGAAGAAGAACAAAAAGACTAAGCACATGTTGCTATTTTTGGAAGCATTATTTATAGAAAATATGTGTGGCACTTTTTCCCTTCTCTTTTAATTTTTTAAATTGTGTGTGTTTGAAGGAAATGTTCTTAGCTTTTGTTGATGTGAATCATCCCTATGAGTAATATGGACATGAACAATATCTATAATGATTGAATTGAGAACAAACTTCAACTTTTGTAGTTTGCCATTGTTGAGTACTATGCACTTTATTCATTTGTTTTGTTTTCTAAAAACAGACCTAAGAATGACTAAGTACAAAACTCCTTTTCTTTTTCACTTTACATAAAAACCTCTATCAAGTTAAAATGAGAAATTTTAACTTGGACGGAGAGAGTATTACGGAGTATATTATTAAATAAGTTGTGAAAATAAGTAAACAAAATGAATATAATTTAATTATGAGAATAGTGTATGAGAAGAAAATTTTTAGTTAAATAAAGTACAATTCATTAGTATGTGTAAATAAACTTTAAAAAAAGAAACAAAGAAAAAGAACTCTAATTAAGTTTGTAAACTCGATTTTTCCTCAGAACAGTATACCTCTGCCGTAGCATTGGATGTGAGTAGTGACTCGGGGTAACATTTACCGGGAGTAACAAAACAACTTTACAGCCTCATTCGTGTTTCCAGGTCTAGGGTTGGTGGTTTCAGATCTTCAAAGCTCCACCATGGCAATGGCAAGAAGGAAGCGAATCAACACCGGCGGCCGCAACCGTTCAATAACGACAGTTTCCCCTTTCGAGATTCTTCCGAAAGACTTGATGTGTGAAATTCTGAAAAGGTTCCCGGCCAGATCTCTCATGCGATTCAAATGCGTCTGATTCGCGATCCCCAATTTGCAGAGGCTCATCTCTCCTACTTCCTGGCCCGTCCCGAAGCCTCCTACATTCTGCTCTTGGGTTTCGGTAAAGGGGTTTATGCAACAGATCAGGAACTTGTTCCCCCAAGAAATTCACCTGTTCCTCCAAATCACCATCTTTTCCACACTCACAGGCCTTGCTCTAACATCGTTAACGGCCTCATCTGCTTGCGAAATGGAAGTAGACTCGCGATTTACAACCTCTCCACTGGGGAGAAGAGAGATCTGCCTCCAACAAGGATCACAGACCACGGCACCACATTTGCATTCGGGTTCAATTCCGTCTCAAAAAAGTACAAATTGCTCCTCTTTAGAGGGCATGTGGCTAGTGAAATTCTCACGGTGGGTAGAAAATCGTCGTGGAAAGATATGCTCGGTGCTCCTGCGATGATGGAACTTAGTTTGGATCCTATTATATATGTTGCTGGCAAAATATATTTCATAGAACTGCGCGCACTCAACAAATTCTTCATTCGATTTTTTGATTTGACAAGTGAGAAGTTTGGGACAATTGATCCCCCGAGCAATAGCGAGGCACCCTATCCAAATCCATGTTTCGGCAATTTTGAGGCAACCTATCCAAATCCACGTCTAGTGCAGGCCGGAGGAAATCTGGGGTTCCTTGCAAATGATTATATTCTGAATAAATCTAGTACATTGGTTCATCACTGGACCTACTGTTACCCACACAATTGGGTTGAAAGAGGCATGTTTTGGTATCATCCTGATAAGGTTTGGGCTTCAATTGGTACGGGTGATATTCTACTTGGTTCATCCGAAATTCGTTTGTTTGATCCCACGACATCCTGGTGGAGTAGGGAGAAGATTAATAATAATCCGAGGGATTCAACTTGTTATACTCATATCTCCTGCAATCATGTGGAAAACATTCTCCCTCTCTCAAGTATGGACTAATGAGTAAGTAGAGAATAATTGTTTTTTTTTGCATTCTTACAGCAACATTTCTTACATCATACCCTCATTTTGGAATTACACAACAAAACTTGTTTGTGAAATCCCAAGTGATTTTTCCCCCTTAGTTATAAAGTGCAAGTTTGGTTTAAGTATTTGCAATCGATTTTGTTTCTAATTTTCCTTGCATCACTGTAGTGTGTTACAACTGCTTAAGTATTTGAACTTGTTAATTGTGGTTGATTAACAAACAGCAGTTAGTGTATTCTGGTTTAAGCAAAAACCTACTACAAGTTGACATTAGTTTTTTTTAAAGGACTCACGGGTCCTCTTATTTTTCAAAAATACCTAGAGGCCATTAAATTTAACTGTAAAGCCTAAAACAGAACTTCCCGGTGCCAGCGTCTCAACAAATGGCAAACCACCTGAAATACCCCTAGTAAAGATTTGTGAAATTCTGCTTAGCCATCATAATACCCCAGAGTTCCTAGCCGTTCGAAATCTTGGACTCCTGTACAGTGTTGTCTTCTTTGGTTTCTGTACATATCACCCGAATTCAGAAAGTGTTATTTTCACTGTTAGACCTTTAGTTTTGGTTTTGGTTCATGTTTTGTGGAGGTTGAATAAAGTTGGGGGCTCTATGTAGAGTTTTTGTTTATTTCTGCATTGAGCATTTTCTGAATAGGAGCATATTAGTTGGACGGATTTCCTGAATAGGGATTTCTAAGTGGTAAGAGAAGAAAATTGAAGAACTTGAAAAATGACATCAGTAAAAAATTTGAATGTTTGTGTCGAACCTTTCGATGGACAACAATCGTAATGATTCATCAGGAAACCTAACAGCTGCCGGTCGGAGCAACGACTCTGAGACCGCCCCTCTAGATATTAGTTTGTTCTGATACACCCACCTTGCACCGCTGCAACAACACCTGCGGGACATGCCGCCTAATCTCCTCGCACTAGAAAGACTTTCGTCAGAATGGAGTAGAATTCATAAGTATGTGTAAATAAATTAACCAAAAAAAGAAAAGAACTCTAGTTAAGTTTGTAAACTCGATTTTTCCTCAGAACATTATACCTCTGCCGCACTGCCGTAGCATCGCTGTAACATTTACTGGGAGTAACAAAACAACTTTACATCCTCATTCGTGTTTCCAGGTCTAGGGTTGGTGGTTTCAGATCTTCAAAGCTCCACCATGGCAATGGCAAGAAGGAAGCGAATCAACACCGGCGGCCGCAACCGTTCAATAACGACAGTTTCCCCTTTCGAAATTCTTCCGAAGGACTTGATCTGTGAAATTCTGAAAAGGTTCCCGGCCAGATCTCTCATGCGATTCAAATGCGTCTGATTCGCGATCCCCAATTTGCAGAGGCTCATCTCTCCTACTTCCAGGCCCGTCCCGAAGCCTCCTACATTCTGCTCTTGGGTTTCGGTAAAGGGGTTTATGCAACAGATCAGGAACTTGTTCCCCCAAGAAATTCACCTGTTCCTCCAAATCACCATCTTTTCCACACTCACAGGCCTTGCTCTAACATCGTGAACGGCCTCATATGCTTGCGAAATGGAAGTAGACTTGCGATTTACAACCTCTCCACTGGGGAGAAAAGAGGTCTGCCTCCAATGAGGATCCGATTCACAACCTCTACCACATTTGCATTTGGGTTCGATTCCGCCTCCGAAAAGTACAAATTGGTTCTCATTATAGGGGATGTGGCTCGTGAGATTCTCACGGTGGGTAGAAAATCCTCCTGGAAAGATCTGCCCGACGTTCCTGAGATGATTGCACTTAGTTTGAATCCTATTTATGCTGCTGGCAAAATATATTTTATGGAAAAGCGCCCTTTACAAAAATTCTTCATTCGATTTTTTGATTTGACAAGTGAGAAATTTGGGACAATTGATCCCCCAAGCAATTTAGAGTCATTCTATTCAAATGCATGTTTAGCAGAGGCAGGAGGAAATCTGGGGTACCTTAAAAGGGATTTTAGTCGGCAACAACCCAATACAACAACTCACTGGGATGGCTGGAACTGTAGTTACCCACACAATTTCTGGGTATTAGATTTAGACTTGAATTGGGTTGAAAGAGGCATGTTTTGGATTCACCATGATAAGGCTTGGGGTTCAATTGGTACGGGTGAAATTCTATTTGGCTCATCCAAAATTCGTTTGTTTGATCCCAAGACGTCCAGTTGGAGTCAGGAGAAGATTAATAATAATAATAATAATAATAATAATAATAATAATAATCTCCGGGATTCACATACTTATACTCATATCTGCTGCAATCATGTGGAAAATATTCTCCCTCTCTCAAGTATGGACTAATTAATGAGTAAGTAGATCAGATTAATTGTTTTTTTTGCACTCTACTAGCAACATTTCTTGCATCATTTTGGAATTACACTGCAAACATTGTTTATGCATTCCCAAATGATTTTTGCTCCATTAGTTAAAGAAAAAGCAAGTCTGGTTTAAGTATTTGCAGTTGCTCTTTTGTTTCCAATTGCCTTGCATCATTGTAGTGTAATACAACTGCTTTAGTATTTGAGCTTGTTAATTGTGTTTGATAAACAAACACTGGTTAGGCAGGTATTACTAGGTTGTGGGTGGAGGGAAGACGGTGAAGTGGCAATACGAAATCCTCTTGGAATATTAGATAATAGAAAATAAATATTATATTTAATTACCCTTATCATTTTATTTTCCTTATTGTATTGTTACAATAATTGTTCTACCAGTGATCAGCTTGCGGGGAGATATTAGGAATATTAGATAATAGAAAATAAATATTATATTTAATTACCCTTCTCATTTTGTTTTCCTTATTGTATTGTTACAATAATTGTTCTACTATGATTATAACTTTCTCATATAATCCTTATAAATAGAGATAGATCTTTCAATATTCAATAAGACCAGTTATTATCAAATTATATCAAAATCGTTTGAGGTTTGTCCACAAAAGGCATATCATATTATTTTGTTAAAAACCCAATTTTGAAAAAAGAGACAACAAAAGGTTCATAAAAAAATTACACGACTATTTATTCCAAAAGGATTGATTTACATCAACATACTTTCTTTTCTTGAAACAAATGAAAAGAGAATAAACATTAACAATATAGTAATGGCTCATGGAATAGAATTAAACAATGACATGACAAATGCAGAACCACTGCGGTAATAAAACCAGAAGAACGCTGCTCGACTGGAAAAACACATGAACACAGAAGACAACATGCATAAGAACAGTGACATGGGGCACAAAAGGGAAAAGATATATTCTTGTCAAGCCAACAAATCACAGGTCACTCAGTTTTCGACTTTGTGGGCTGATTTTAGTATTCATCCCCATCCTCTTCTTCATCGTCACAGCCTTCAGCTCCAACTTCCTCGTAGTCCTTCTCTAGGGCAGCTAGATCCTCTCGGGCTTCTGAGAATTCGCCCTCCTCCATACCCTCACCAACATACCAGTGAACAAAGGCGCGCTTGCTATACATGAGGTCAAATTTGTGGTCAATTCGGGAGAAGACCTCAGCCACGGCGGTGTTGTTACTTATCATGCAGACTGCACGCTGCACCCGGGCAAGATCACCTCCCGGCACCACTGTTGGTGGCTGATAGTTGATCCCACACTTGAAACCAGTAGGGCACCTGAAAAGAGTCCATAAACACCCATTTTTTATTCAAGAATTGATACTTGACAGTGTAATTTGAGCCTGATTTAATGTTTCATTCGTCTTTGGATCTAAAGAGGAAGAGAACTTTTGTCAATTCATTCAATTTTGACCCAATTTTAGAACTCAATTCTGGTTCCCATGCACCTATGTATTTATTGGGTCCACAATTCATAGTCAAGGAACAAATTGCGTCTAGATGAAAGTTAACTCTCAAACTTTAACAGTTCCAAGAGAGATGTCAGGGGATTGAAAAACTTACCAATCAACAAACTGAACGGTCCTTTTTGTCTTAATGGTAGCAACAGCAGCATTGACATCCTTTGGAACAACATCTCCACGATACATCAAACAACAAGCCATATATTTTCCGTGTCTTGGGTCACACTTGGCCATCATGCTTGATGGTTCAAAAACAGCATTTGTAATCTCAGGAACAGACAACTGTTCGTGATAAGCTTTGGCGGATGAGATCACAGGAGCGTAAGAAGAAAGCATGAAATGGATACGAGGATAAGGAACAAGGTTGGTCTGGAACTCAGTGACGTCAACATTAATAGCTCCGTCAAACCTCAAAGATGTTGTCAATGAAGAGATGATTTGCGATATCAAACGGTTCAGGTTTGTGTAAGTTGGCCTCTCAATGTCTAGGGACCGCCTGCATATGTCATATATTGCTTCGTTGTCCAAAAGCACAACAACATCTGTGTGTTCTAGGAGGGAATGTGTGGATAAGACACTGTTGTATGGCTCAACAACAGCAGTTGATACCTGCATGTTCAGAATATATGGCCAATGTTAACAGACTATAAATTGAAATTTGAGGGGTGAAAATTATTAAGAACTTGCTAGATTTATAGTATTCCTCGAAAATGCCAAAGAAAAAAAGCCTTCGCCAAGGATCCAAGCCTTCAATAATTTCAAATTCTTTTCAATTCCATATCCCTCTTTAAAAAGGCCAAACTGATTTTTGTTTTCAATTGAATTTTTGTACTTTTTCATACACTGTTTTAACTCCCTATGCCCCAAAAAACTTAACTCTCCCTTTTTGGACATCCCAAAAAACACTTTCCACTCACTTTAGTAATGATCATGTTGCTCATAAGATATCTCTCTCAACCAAACGAACTCTAACCATACACTTGTCACTTTTCAACACTTCTCTTAACCCACAAAGTCAAATAGGTTAAGCTTTTTGGGAAGGAAGGAATAATTAATATGGATTTCAGATTTTTTTTCACAACCAGTTGGCAAGGGTTACTATATACAAATTATTCATCCAATTTCCCAAAACATAATAATAATAATAATAATCATAATCATGTAAAAGCATGTTCTTTAAAAGCTAACACTACCTGAGGAGATGGATATATGGTAAATCCAAGTTTTGATTTCTTTCCATAATCTACCGACAAACGCTCCAGAAGCAAGGATCCTAAACCAGAGCCTGTGCCACCACCAACAGCATTAAAGACCAAGAATCCTTGCAAACCAGTGCAATTGTCCGCCAATTTTCTCACTCTATCAAGGCACAGATCAACAATGTCTTTCCCCACTGCAAAGCATGACAAGTTGTCAGAAGAACATAAGTTGTAACATTCACATAAAAACTAAGTATTGCATTCTTTTGCTTCAGCATGAGAAAAGGTACCTGTATAATGTCCCCTGGCAAAGTTGTTGGCAGCATCCTCCTTACCAGAAATAAGTTGCTCTGGATGAAACAGTTGCCTATATGTCCCAGTTCGCACTTCATCCACAACAGTTGGCTCGAGGTCAACAAACACAGCTCTAGGAACATGTTTGCCTGAACCAGTTTCACTGAAGAAGGTGTTGAAAGAATCATTTGCAACACCAACTGATGTGTCACTGCAATCAAATAGAGAAGTAAAATTAATAAAAAGAGATATCATCATAAACTTCATAAGCAATGGCTTGATAGAGTTCAAGGCATACATTTCTTGTGCAAGAAAAGACACATGTAATCCTGTTCGAATAATACTACAACTAGACGCAATGTGTATAAAATTGAAACACGTTAGAGAGCAAGGTTAATGAAAAGGAAGCAATTGTTTGTAATAGATCGACAACAGATGCAACATTTACTTATGTGATCTGGATTAGTAGGCTTTCCAAATTGGTCATGACAAAAGTGCACTCAAGTTTTATTGGCACTCCCTTTCCTTTGTATTTCAATGACAAGGTGCCTAATCTATTGCATACACACAACATGCACATGGTTAGAACCTAGAAGTTGGTTCCTCAATCAGTATATAAATTACTCATTCATAGAGGCAGAACAATGCACCATCAAATTCTAAAGACTCCCTTCTTCACATAAATAAAGTCACAAATGGACACCACACATATTGAGGCAATTTCTAAAAGGCATATGACCTTCTAGTTCTACACATGGAATGGTAATGAGGGTGGGATATAAAATGGTGGTGGGTAGAAAAAAGGAATAGGAAAAAGTAGGGGTATTATAGTTGATTAAGTGTGTTAGATATACCGAAAATGGAAATTTGACTTTCGTTTTGGGACGCCATATAAAGAAAGTGTGACTTATTGTTATGGGACAAAGCCATGGAGGGAGAGTATATAATATCTTGTTCAGTTAAATTCACGGTTCCTACCGGCAATTCATGAACAATCGCAAATCTAAACCATGCCTTTTAAAGTTTTACAAATATCTCCATCTATGCCTAAATTATTTCACGTTTATCCAGTATGTTCAAAAAATGCTCTCACATACGAGTTTGGTAAGAATGTGAAACATCCAAAACCTGATGGTATACTTCAAGCATTTTTTAAATGCTTTGAGACTAGATCTGAAATTTCTTCAAATACTAAAATGGGAAAGGGATAATTCCTCACACAAAGATGTGACAAAAAAGATTTACTCATTCTTAACTAGAGATATTGCCGACTCTGTGTGTGTGTTGCATGCTTTCAACGCATAGAAATTCATATCATTTAATGCCTTAATTGTTCCTTACTAGTGTTCAGAATAAGAAAAATAAGATGTGTCGCTCACAACCCATGGACAGAGAAATTGAAAACACAAGATTTTGTGGTAGGCCCATTGCGTCAATATTTTCAAAATTTATTGAAGTGGAAAAAAATGGCATCTTTAATTCTAATCAATTGTTTAGAAAAAAGTGTGCTATCGAATAAGTCAAATTGTCAATCTTTGTAAAGAAGAAAAATCATTAAAGCAATTAAATTGATGAGTCTCATTCCAAACAAATCATTTTCAGAAAACCATCTGCCATGTACATATAAACAATGCACGATCATGTCCTATCCACAAACTAGGCATCACAATAGCCAAACCCCAAAGCAAAACAAGTTTTAAAAAAAAGGTTACCCGCAATTAATAATCCTCTACATTCCATAAAAGCCAGCAAAATGTCATAATTAAGAGGCTATTACACGTGATCTCATATAAAACAATCTGTTGAAGAAAATAGGAAAACAAATCACCATGTTGTAGCCTTCTTTAGCACAGTTAAATCAAAATTTTCAGATATTTTCAAAAATTCTAGGTTTCCCCAAACAATACAGGCTAAATAAAATGCAATCGCATGTCGGAAAACATCGAACTTCGAAGAAATGAAACAAAACATAGGTAGTAATTACCTAGGCATCATGCCATTGGGCTGAATTCCATGTTCAAGGCAATAGAGCTCCCAGCAGGAATTCCCGACTTGAATGCCGGCCTGGCCGATGTGCAGGCTTATGATCTCCCTCATCTCTCTCTCTCTCTCTAGAAATTGAATTTGCAGACGGATCGAGAAATCGAGAGAGATCGCAACGGTTTTGTGGGGGAGGGAGGAGAAGATAATGGGGGAGAAAAATGTGAGGCGGATTTCATACAAAGTTTGGAGTCCGGAGAATGTGTCGGGGCCCACCCGTTTTTGAAAAATGGGTCTAGAGTCCACAGCTGGAATTAGTTGTCGGGTCGGCTGTCTGTAGCCATCCATCCACTTGTCTGGCCCGAGTTGTGCGGTGGGTCGACCCGGGCAGTTGACCTCTCTCTACCTACCGCCGTCAATTATTAGACGGAGGCACTGTAAATTATTAGCGGTTAGATTTCCGACAAAAACAAAAAGGAATTAAGCATTTTTGAATTTTGACTCACCCTTTCCAATCTGATTTATTCCGTACTTTTAATATTCCATTCATCCATAATTTATTATGATTACAAATTAGGAGTTACAACTTAGAGTCAAAAAAAAATTTAAAATTATTTTATTTATAAATTAGTATATCTATAAGAAATAAAAATTATATACTCTCTCTGTTCACAAATAAATTTTATATTGCGCATTACGATGTTTGACAGATGTTATTTTCAAATCATTGTATATGAAAAATGGTGTAGAATTGAAAATTAAAAATTACATATTAAAAAACTATATCAAAAGATCTATAAAACTAGAAGTGACATGACTATATTATTTTATCAAATGGGTGATGAAAATAGGCCAACAGAGTGAATAAAGTTTGACCATGTGAATGTTGAACGTAAAGTTTATTTGTGCACGGAGAGAGTATTAAAATACTACGTCAAAAGTTTTACAAAACAACAGGTGACGAGAATATTTTATTTTATCAAATATTTAATAAAAGCACACAAGTAAACAAAAGTTATCGAGAGAAATGAGAAAAAAAATTGTAATCTACTTCAGAACGGAAGAAGTAACGTAGATAAATTTGAAAAATGCAAATACCAAAAATTATCGTTAACTTTCATTAAATGCTAACTTAAATTTCTAAAGTTGTTGTGAAACAAGCTTGTAGGTATGGGTGGGCACGGGCCGGTCCGAGCCAAGATTTGTATAAACCGGGCTCGGCTTGGTTTTATTAAAACGGTCCGGGCCGGAACGGGTTTTCAAAATTTTAAAATTGAAACCGGACCTAACCCAGCTTGTTTGAAATGGGCCGATTCTACGGGTCAACGGATCCGAACCTATCATGATACTAATATTAAAAAAATAAAGGGATAATAAATTAATTTAAGTCATCCAACACAAAAAAGAGGCGTAAATGAAAATAAAACAATGACAAAGAGGGGCATGAGAGTAAAGTGTACACCTCATGATCATCCAACAACAACAACAAAAGAAGACAACCACATTTTGGCATTATAATGTCAATGGGTTCCAAAAGAACAAAATTCACAATCTTCATGGGTTCTCTGACTACGAAAGGTTTTCTCACTTTTCTGCCTGCGATTGGAAAGATCGAAAGATTGAAGGGCTTAGGCGGGTATATTTTTGTATATCCGTATATTTACTAGAAATAATATTAAAAATAATATTGGGATTTAAAAAAACGGTCCGGTCTGGGTCCAATACAATTTCAAAATTGGGAACCGGACCTTTTGAAATTTTTGAAAAGAGGACCCGACTCTAACCCAGACCGAACCTAGCGGTCCGGTTCCGACTCCCGGTTCTTGGACCCGATTGCCCACCCCTACTTGTAGGAGCCTAGGAGGCTTTTTTTTTAACTCTGTATTTCTTAATTTCATGATTTGTTGGGTTTAAAAGATGAAAAGTCAAACATGAGAAAAAGTAACTGAATAAGAGCACTTGATGATAGTAGCCCAATTTTAACATAAAGGTCCGTTTGGTACACGGAATTGATGGAATTGGAATTGAATTGGAATTAAAATTTCATGGGGATTCAATTCCATAGAATTGAATTCACCAATTCCAATTCATTTTTTGCACTACCAATCCCAAATCCACGTAATTTTTGTGCTACCAAACATGAGAATTGGAATTGAAGTCCCCAATTCTAATTCCATATTTTGAATTCCTTGTAACAAACGGGACCTAAGAGTACTTGAAATATTCGTGAAGGCTCAGGGCTTCAAAATTCTTCTCTTTATCACGTCAATTTTAACTTATCTCACAATTTCACTGAGAATAGGTTTGAAATTTTAAAATTTCAAACCGGGGCTTCAAACTTTTATTTTTTAATACATATTTTGTGAAATTAAATTAATCAAACTTCATTAATTAATTAAATTAAAACGACAATAATTCATTAAATAAAAAACTATATTAAATAAAAAAACATTTAATTAAAAAATACATTAATAGAAAACTAAGGCAAATTATGTTTGACTTTGATCTCTTTTTGTCTTCTCTCGTAAAGCATACATTTGAAGCCTGTTAACATATCAATGTTGGTTTTCATTATTTTGACATCTCCGATCCCTTCCCTTGCCTTCTTTCTCCCTCTCTTTTTCCCTAATATTGTTCAAGCATTACCCGACCAATATCGTCGTGATAGAAACCAGAGCCGGACCTTGCAAATCCCGAGGCAATGGATTTTACCTTCTTTCTTCCGATCGGCCATGGACTGGGTCCTCGTCATCGGAGTCGTCTAGGGAGGCCTTTGTTCCGACTTCCGACGAGCCAATAGTGCCATCGGCCACAACCTCATCGGAAGATCTTTTTTTTGACGATTCGATCTTGGAGTTGTTGAGAGAGATTTGTGTTTGTGGTGTGTGTTTAATTTTTTTTAAAAGAATGAATCTATAGAGATTTTTTTAAAATATTAACGGTATTATAGCCATTGGGGAGGGGAGTTGCCAACGACTCTTTTGAGCCTTCAAAATAGCGTCAAACGTTTGACGCTTCATAAATGGCGCTGGCTTAACGAGGGAGGGAGGCATTGTTTAAAGTGGGGGGGCATTAAAATCGGGAAAAACACCCCGCGACGTTATTGATATTTCAATTGCTCAAAATTTTGGTATGAGCTTCCACTTTTATTTTGACTAAATTCCCTCAGTTTTTTGTTAAATACACATTTTATCCTTAAAAACTAGCTTACATCTAAATTTCATTTTTTATATTTTTAAAGACAAAATTATTCATTTAATATAAGGTGTAAGAATCATTATATTTTTTTATTTAAAATATTGTGATGTATGATCTCTAAAATGAGTCAGTATCATAATATGACATAATCGGGCCAACGTGACTCGTTTGGCATTCAAACTCACCCCGCTCTCTTTGGAAATTTAAAATTTTGGAGTCGTCCTCAACCGCATGATTCAATTCCAATTCGTAAGTATATGACACTTTTGTCCACACCCTTACTAAGCACCAATTTTTCATTATTTGGCACTTTTTTTCAAGATAGTGTTACTTATTCGAACCATGTTATGTGTACACCACTTTGTAGCCCAATACTTTATACTAACACTTTATGACACACTATATGAAATGTTGATGCAAAATTTTTTCAATCATATAAATATTTTGTATCATTATGAGTGATCAAGATGTGAATACAAAATTTTGGAAGACAAAAGTGGATTCTACTTATTTTCCAACGGGGGGAAACAACTGTAAGGCGGAGGAGGGTGGTAATGGGCGGCCTGAAAGCGGTGGCCATCATTTCCGGCGACCAAAACGTCAAAGGCACTCTACAATTTATCCAGCAATCCAATGGTGCTCTCTCCATTCCTCTCTCACATAGTGGTGTGGATTTCATTGTTACTAATTTTTGAATTCATTATGTTCTTGTAATCCGGTGTAGTGTTTGTGAGACAGGGTCAACCTACGTGAGAGGGAAAATAACAGGATTGAATCCAGGATCTCACGGTTTCCATATTCATGCTTTGGGTGACACCACCAATGGCTGCAATTCCACCGGTCAGTCTATCCCGGTTCTGTTAGAGTGCGTTTCGATGTGCAATTGGAATTAGGTCTTTGTGAACAAATTGTTCAAGAAATTCCATACAAAACTTATACTCTTATGTCCCCTTCTTAGCCATTTGGTTGTAAAATTTGCTTAACTTTTAACATTTGCATTTTGGATGAATTTGTAATGGTGCAGATTAACTTTGAAAAGGTTCAACGTTGCCGTTAGATAGTTTTTTTTCTTTCAAAACACTAAAACTAATTGTTGCCAAACAAGCCCTTTACTTTATCGCCATTTGAGTGAAGAGCGTCTTTATCCACAATGTTTTAGGTTTGGATAAATAATACTCCAATGTTAGAATATAAAATCTTTTCTATGGACCATTGACAATGTTAGAATATAAAATCTTTTCTATGGACAATGTTAGAATATAAAATCTTTTCTATGGACCATTGGGCCTACAACCACAATTTTGAGCTTTGGTTGAGTTGTTTCCTTGATAGACACCTTAAACTCCCTTTCATTTTTTACTTTCGAATTGGAACCCTCTTCGGATTATTAGTGGAGTCCCACAACCAAGAGACTTAGGAATATGCTGGGTTTTATTGTTGTTGAGCGTGTTGTTGTTGGTGTGTTGGTTTTACAAAGTTATGTTATGGAGAAGGGTAGGGGACCTAATGTTTTGGGCATTCAGGACCTCACTTTAATCCCCATGGAAAGAGCCATGGAGCTCCCAATCATAAAGAGCGGCATGCTGGCGATTTGGGTAACATTGTTGCTGGTCCAGATGGTATGGTCGGATTTGAATGCAATATTTTAAAAACTGCCTCTTCACTGAACTTAATGTGTTTTCTTGGGAATGCAGGGGTTGCTGAGGTTTCAGTTCTGGATATGTTGGTAAAAAATCTTATTAGCATCTCTATATTCACGATATGCTGGTGGTAGTAGACTAATAGTTGTTGCTTTTATCAAACGAGCTTTTTATAATTTTACATACTAGTATATATTTAGTTAGATTTCTGTATATGATAGAAATATATACATTTTCCGGATTCCAAACAAACACGAGACTCCTGGTTCCTGCATTGGTGTTTTCGGTCAAGCACCGTGCCTAGAGACCATGAACCCATTTTGGCAGGACATATGGCTATAAATATGACATTCACTTGTTCCGCTTTCCTTTTTAATCAATAGATTCCTCTAACTGGGGTTAACTCTATCTTGGGAAGAGCAGTAGTTGTGCATGCTGATCCTGATGATCTAGGAAGAGGTATCCATGTTTCTTGAATGTGTGCTTGTTATGAAAGCCCTCCATTTTGAATGACCCTATGATGAAATTAGCTTCCGTGCCCCCACGGGTGACAATGCCTGTGAATTTTGTCCTCAGAGGACTCACGGACACTGCATGTGTCCATAGACATCAACACTATCTCTACTGTTTGTGAGAATTTCAGCTGCGATGTTAACAGTGGGGGCACGTAGCATGGTCCTACTATGATTTTGATTACTAATTTGAGTCATGTTAGGGTCACGTCAGGTTTGACACCAAGAGTTTGACACTAAGTCTTTCACATATTTATGCAGACAAATCTGTTAACTCTTGGTATCAATTCTGGTGGGTGGCTTTCTTCCATTTTTGTAGTAATTAATACAAGGTTTTTTCTTTAGGTGGGCATGAGCTTAGTAAGACCACTAGGAATGCAGGTGCAAGAATTGGTTGTGGTAATTTAATTCTCATCTTTATTCCACTGATTTCCAATACATGTCTTTTAACTACGAGTTACTCCCTCCGTCCAAAAACTTCTTTCTCGGTTTTACTTGGCACGGAGATTAAGTAAAGTTAAAAAGTGTAAAGACTTTCCATGTGTTGTCCACTTGTCCTTGATGTGATGGAATAAAGTGAATAGTGTAAATAAAAAGTGGGGGTATAATGGCACATTCATTAAAAGTTTTTTGCCAAAATAGGAAATGGGAAAGAAATTTTTGGACGGCCAAAAAGGAAAGTAAGAAAGAAAGTAATGGACGGATGGAGTATATTATACAGAGTATATCGCAATTAAGTGATTACTGACTCAAACGAAGCTTTGTCATGACTCGTGATGTTTGATTCAATCGTCCATGGCGAGAAATCAATGGTAACAATTGTTGGAATTGAATCAACACGTTTCCAAGAATCGAACACATGATTCTTAAGGCCCAAGGTAATGGCCTTTTTTAGGCTTAGCCATTCATGTAGTCATTTACTTGGACAAAGAGGCTTTTGAAGCCATTGTTGTGGAATGTCTCTAGAGCTAAGTGGAAGAAGAATGGTGTAAGAGCTAATAGGATGATCCATCTAGGGCTCTCTTAAATGTGAGAGCTGAAATCCCTTCCTATTAAAAACATGCTACTATATCATTCGAGTCATGCTAGAGTGACACCAAGTTTAACAAGTGTTTCACAGACATATATAGAAAGTCGCTGTATGTCACACCCATTGTTTTTTGCATGTCTGCAAAATTTTTAGTGTCAAACGTTTATATTATTTTTAGTAGGTTGCCCATTCTGGTTTAGGAATCCTAGTGGGTCATAGTCTTGACATTGACCAAGGCTTGGGCATGAGATAGTAATTGGGTCATTTGGGCATTCGGATGTTCAGTTTCATGTTTGTGAGACGACATTCTGTTTGTGCATTTACCAATTGTGTTTCTTAGTGTTCTTTTTCCCCTCTCGGCGAGATTTAGATTTTGGATTATGACGTTTTTAGGCCATATCTTGTTTTCCTCTTTGTGTCACAACAATGCGTTCTTGTGTTATCTTTTTGGTAAAAGCTGAGTACTAAATTGGTTTCGTTTTAATGCATTATTATGCTGTGGCAGGCATTATTGGGCTTCAGGCATCTGTTTAAACATTTTGGTTGTTTTTCCTTCTCAAGTAGACAGTATTGTAATCACCCTTCATTAAATTGTTCCATGTATGAAGTTGTTTTGTTACATTAGTTTAATCTTTACTATTATTATTTATTATCATCACCATAAAAGAGTATTATTTATATTGCTAGTAGCAATATTTTGTTCACACAATATGCCATTCCATTGAAATTAATGGTCACTATATCGTCCGTATTGGTACTCTGCCATTCCATTTAAAAAGATATCATTGCATTCTCCCGGTTAGGGCTATTCACGTTTAAGTCTGGACCTAAAAAACTGGCTGAACCGGACCGCTTGGTCCAGACGGAACCCGGACTGAATGGATTTCGGATTGGTCTTCAGTCCAAACAATTTAGGAGTTCAGATTTCGGTCCGGTTTGGTCCAAACCCAAAATGATTTAGGTCCAGACCAATTGGACTGAATGGACCTAATAACCTTATTGGATCTAAAAAACCTAAATACGTAAACTTTACTTTTAAAATTCCGTAATACACTTTGATGCTTTACTTGAATAGATATTTTAATTTATTTAATTAAAAAAGTTTTTGTTAAGAAATTTAAAAAAAAGTTCAAAAAAAATTTTGCATTAGTTTTTATTATTCTACATAGAAGTAGTCCATTAGGTTGTCTATTTTTTTCCCTATTTGTATGCTACAAAATAAAAAGCCTAAATTTTTTTTAGAAAGACAAACCATTAACCTAAAGTATATTTAATTGATTAAAATAATTAAAAGAATACATTTTTATTTAGTCCAATCGGTCCGAACTGGTTCGGTCCTAAGTATTTCGGTCTTGTCCGGTCCAAACTTGAATAGATTTAGGTCCGGTCTTCAGCCCGTGATTTTAATTAATTCGGTCTTCAGTCCGATCCGGATCGGTCCGTTTCGGTCCGATCTTGGACCGATGAACACCCCTACTCCCAGTATGCTATTTCTCTCAAAAAGGCCATGTTAGAATGAGTCCGAGTAGTGCACATAATCAACTCCAAATTTTATCAATCTAGGATCCCAATTCTCATTCCCAATCTTAAATATTCTCTTTGATTTTTTGATCTCAACACTTTTTCCCCGTTTTTCGCCTATTATCAACAATTTTTTACCATATTCATTCTCCATCCAATTACCATACCTTTATGGTCCTAAATTCTACCCCATCTATTACTATCATCACCAAATCACCAGCCTTGCTGGAATGTGGGGGAAGAAAGACAAATAGAAGAGATTGAGCGGAAAGGAAATGAGAGAAAGAGGAAGAGATGTAGGGTGGATTTAAAAACAGATAAATAAGAAGAATTAAAATGGTGGGACAAATATTTCTTTCCTACAACTGAACACTCTTGAGTGGGATATGTTTGGTTTGTTTTCTGTTTTCAGGGAACTAAAGCTTTCCATGGATGAAATGTTTCAAGAAAACATGAAGCATACAAAGATCGAAAGTTTGAAAATTACTAGAATATATCATAGCCAGTAGCCACCAAAAGATTGGTCCCAACATTAGAAACTTAATGGTATTTGGACAGTGGATTTCATTACACGGATTGTGTCATTGTTCGACAGCACGGTTCGCTTATGGTCATCATGATAACCCCCCTAGTAAAAACCATCACCTTATATCTGGAAGCAAGCGACAGGTGGGTTTTAGCCTCTCAGCCAAGTGTTCCGATACGACGAGTTGTCACGCAAAGAAGCATCGTGTGGTTTGTATTCCATGACATATCCACCAGGGAGCTGCAAGTGTCGTTTGATTGAGTCTCTCAGTGCCATTACAGCCTGGGAAATACAAAGGCAAAAACAGTAGCATATTAGATCTTTAGGTAGGTGGGCGTGTGCCTTAGTAGCTAAATATATGGAATTTGACTGAAAAGTGGTGAGCCAGTAACCTGATGGTCCGATGCATTGCGGTTCCACACACTCAAAATGTCTTCATTGAAGCGAATGCTAAGTACTACACCACATATGTTCTCACCATAATCAAGTTGATCACCAACCAATGCCAGAACCTTTGTACAATTCCAAAACAAAATTGGTCACCATGAAAAAAATCATACCCATAACTAAATCATGTGTATGTGTACCATATGTCCAACAGGAGGCAACCATTTGTATACCATGTCATAAAAAGGAAATCAAAATGTGGTAGTCTCTTACCAAGTCCTCCCAAAAGCGTCCAGATACAGGCTTTTTAAATCGAATGATCCATTTACCGCCATTGAAATTGGCAGCATCCTACATTAATACTACTTATAATCAGCAATGTGGATAGAAATGTGGTGTGTTTTTTTAAAAACAAGGGAAAGGAAGAGTAATAAGTTTAACAATGATTTACCTCCCACAGAGGACGAATCCCTTCTTTAAAAAGATGCAAATCAGTTGGACTTGGCAAAGTTGACGGACGAGCCAAATGGCAGTAGCAGACCCAAAATGCTTCAACCTATCATCCAAAAGAATAAAACATCTATATAATATCGTGGATTGCAAACCTTTTGTCTCTCTTCTCAGGGTTTTGGTTTTCTAAAGAACGGACTCGTTATTGATTCATCAGAAGAATCTAGACAACATATATAAACTAACTTACTGTACTGAAATCCATTATTTTCTTTATGTTATCTTCATATGATGCTTGTGTCCGAACTCCTGGAGTCCGGCGAGTATACCAAAATACAAATTTGTTCTGCACAACCAAAGAAGCAAGATGAACAGCCATAAGCATCAAGGAAACACAGTGTTTATCAGGAAATGAAATGGGCACAATAATAACACAAAGTATCATTCTCCTTTGAGAAACACTGGACACATTGAAGCAAATTTACTGCTCAGTGCCCATAGCAACTTCTTTATATATCCACCATAGCTCAAAGAACTAAAAGACTCTAAGAATTTTCTGCAAGCAAGAAAGGAAGTTCATCTTCAATTCAAAATTTCATGTCTTCGACCAGGTACTGTATATGATCTTATTAGAAATCAAGAAAGAGCAGTAGTCATTGTATATATGACAGTAGCTGTATAACCCTAAAAGTTCCCAGCAGCTCTTTGCATCCTCCACAACTTCACAGCACCATAAAGGCAGCCCTTATCAATTCAACACATAAACGTGTTGCATTCTGCCCGGTTAACATTTACGGACTAGCAACTAGTCAAGTATATACGTATCTATTTGGATATCCGTCAGAAAAAATAATCGCAGAAATTCAGTAACAATCTATAGGAACGAAATCTATAATTTCAAAGCAAAATCATGAAACCTAGAAGATTATAGGAGGATTCAAGTGAATGAGATGAGGACCTTGAGGGGATGAAGGCCGGCTTTGAGATCTTGGGCGATGCGATCCCGATCTTCGGCATCTCTCTCCGTCAGGGAGACCGGCGTCTGAGCGATTTCGTTTCTGCTCTCAGTTTCTCTCTTCTCGGCGATCGTTTCGTCCATTTGGCTTCTCAGGTAGGCGTCGAGTTGAAAACTGAAACCGTATGTCTCTCTCTCTGTCAGCCGATACTGTTCGGAAATGGCAACGCGACGAAGAGGAATTGGGCTTCGTACGGGAAGTCTGATAAGGGGGGCCAAAATCCTCTCTTTCTTTGCTTTGGGGAATGGATAAAGCAAATGACTCTTTTCTTTTCTTTTAATAGTGTGATAGCAATTGATTAAAGACTCGTTTGAAAATAACGTTTTGTATTAATATTAATATTTTAGATAAAATTTTAACAGTAAATTAATTTTGAAAATACATATCAGATAGCTTTTTTAAAACGTTATGGTTAATCTCTAACGTTATTTCCAACAAAACGCAAATGTAACATCGAATGCTCATCATCAATCATGAAAACAGTTATTTTATATTTTAAACATAAGATTCCGATCCCATACGTGATTACCTGTGATGGTTGAGTCAGGAGTTTCTTTGAAAACAGACTCTCTGCTTTCGACTGGCGCTAAGGTTTGCGTACATAGTCTTAGATACACATTTCCCAAACTTTACTCTTGGGTGATTCTACTCGATTGGTGTTGTTGTAGGTCCAGCTCCCACGTTACCTTCCTTAGAGAAAACTAGAAGAGTGAGAACAAAATGGAAGAAATTCAAAAAACTAGTAAGAGTTAGAAAAATTTGTAAGAAGTTGGGATTAACTGGAAAAAGTTGGAAAACGTTAGTAAAATAAAAAATGGAAGTAATAAGAAAATTGAAATAATTATTACGTTTTTAAAATTTTCAATTTTTGTTTAAATAATTCACATTTCATTTGATTTAATTATCTCTTTTCATTTCTTCATATTTTAAACTCTTTTTATCCGTACCACATCTATAATAATATTTTTGTCACTCATACTCATAATTATTATTTTTGTAATCTTTTTTAAATAATATCAATTGTACAAACTTTTATTTCATAATTTGTAAGAAACTAACCCATTTACCAAAGCAGTGAAAAATGAGTAATGTTTTTTTGTTAATCTTAGGTAAGCAAAAAATTTACATAAATATTCTAATGTTATCTCAATTAACAAAAAGTCATAATTATAAAATATTACCCGGAGTACAAAATTACAAAGGAAACTAAATAATAAATTTATTATTTTAATACTTTATACTGACTCTGTAATGGTAACTAACATTTATTTTAGAGACAATTGAATAGTGACGATGATTAAAATGGTGATGATGATAATATAGCGAAGTGGGCAAATATTTGATTAAAACATCGGCAAGCTACTCTTTCATTGGAACACGATGAACTGTCATAGAGTTAGTCATTACCTCATCCCAAAAAAGGAAATAATATGTGCCTACATTCTTCAGATGATCATGAAGAAATGAGTTCTTTCCCATATAGATGGTAGATCGATTATCATAGTAGAGTGCTGGTTTTGGATGGGATACATGAAAAGCCTCTATAATCTAAGTAAGCTAAATCACTGCATTTCAGCGATATTTTAAGTCATAACACGATATTCTGCCTCCACAGAAGAATATGACACAAGTTGCTACTTCTTGGACTAAGAGAGAAGATTTGGGTCCCAAAAAGAGCATGTAACATACAAGTAAATTCCTAGATCTGAAGATCGAAGATCCCTGAGATATAGTGTCTTGGGTACAACAGAGGATGCGCTTGAGTGCGTGAAGATAGGG